GTTCAGATCCCCAGGCATCTGTGGCCCCGAGTGGAGATACAGCCCTCCAGACGGGAGTCCACGCGGGCCTGCTGCGGAGTCACAACAGCAGGGGACACGGCATTGGCCATGCACAACCCAGGCCACACCAGCACTTTCCTGGGCACCTCCCTGGCACCTCTGCCCTCCTGTCCTCATGCCAACGCTGGGAGGAGGGCTCGCCACACCCACTGTGCAGGTGACACCAAGCCTGGGACACCTAGGACACGTGGGCTTTCTTCAGTCTAAGCGTGGCAGGTGCATCCTGAGGCAGGGCCAACCACCTGGGCCCGAGGGCGGAGCCGTGGGGGTGGGCAGGGCAGCCAGAGCCCAGGGCCATGAGGGAGGCCATCAGCTGGATGGCCAGAGGGTCTCTCTGAGGACCTCTGAATTAAGCCCGGAATGAGGAGTGAGGGGTGGCAGCTGTGTCAAGAGCAGGGAAAGAATTCCAAGCCAAGGGGACAAATGCAAAGGTCCCTGAGGTGGGTAAGAGTCTTGCTGGCCTTTCCTATAGTGACAGAGGTGGCTGCTATTTGGGGAGAAGACTCCGGTGCCGACAAGGCGGGTGGTCAGAGGTGCTGGCCGCCCGAAGCACTCAGGCTGTGGGGGGGTTTGCACTCCCCTCAGGAGCCATGGGAAGCCACTCCAGGGTTTGATCAGGTGAGAGATGGCACCTGATTTGTTTTTAAAGGGCCCCTTTGGCTGCTCTGTGGAGTCTGGAATGGGGGTTAGAGGAGGTGCTAGGGAGGGGGCAGGGGCAGGGGGACCCTGGAGGAGGCTGTCGTGCCACCCTCTACGCAGGATGGCGATGCTTGAGCTTGAGAGTGGCCACTGAATGGAGAATTGAAACTTTGGGGTGTTTGGAGGGGAGCCCAGTCGCCTGCCAGTCCTATCTTCACCTGTCAGACGACTGTGCCTTTTTGGGAGGCTACTCAGCAGACCCTCCTCCTGAGCCAGCTCTGGCCAGCACACCCCCAGCTGGGCCTCTTGTGACAAGATTCCTCCGGCCAGGCGGGGGTCCTCGGCCAGGCACTCCCAGAGGCAGATGCTGGTTCTGGTCCATCTAGATGCCCAGCCTGGCACCAGCCTCCCTTCTAACAGGCTTCACTCCAACCAGAGCCGGTGATCACATCCTCACCGGTGTGAAGCACTAGTAACCCTCCTTCACAAGGCCCCGTGCTCTGTCTGAGGGGTGTGCAGGGCTGGGGGGTGCATCTCTGCAGAGCTCCCGTGGATAGGCTGGCCATGTGTCAGCAGCACTTCCTTCCTCTGCTGAGTCTTGCTCACATCCTCACCTCCTGCTCCCCCAGGGCTTGTCTGCACAGCCCTCACCTGAACCTCAGACCTTGGAGTCGGGAAACGTGAACCTCTAGCCAGGAGCCCCTGCGGGAGCCCCCTGCCTCAACGGGGCTCCTCCACCTGGAGCTGCTGCCCCCCTGCACCCCCCGGCTTGGGGCACGCCCAGGTGTGGCAACGCTGCGGAGCTCAGACACAGGCGAAGAGTGCCAAGGCCCCACCAGAGCCAAAAGCCTCAGTTTTTCTCTCCTGTATGGAAATGTAATTCATGTACCATAAAATTCTCCATTATAATGCGTGCAATTCAGTGGCTTTTAGTATATTCACGGGGGTCTACGACTCTCCCCACTAACCCCAGGACAGACACATCCCCACAAGGACCAATCCCTACAGAGTCATTCCCACAGACCTCCTCTCCCAGGCCCTGACGGCCATTCATTCACTGTCTGTCCCTGCAGATTTGCTTGCTCTGGACCTTTCATCTAAATGGCGAAAGGCTCGCCCAGGCCAGGTGGCTCAGTTGGTTAGAGCCATCATTCCATAACCAAAAGATTGCAGGTTCAATTCCCAGCCAGGGCACACACCTAGGCTGTGGGTCCCATCTCTGTCTGGGCCCAGACAGGAGGCAACCAACTGATATTTTTCTCTTACATCGATGCTTCTCTCTCCACCCCCGCCCTTCCTCTCACTCTGAAAAAATCAACGGAAACCTACCCTCGGGTAAGGATAAAAACAAACGGTGAGAGGCTCGGCAGCCCTCCAGGCCACAGGTTCCAGTGGAGCCTGTGGAAAGTGTCCACGGGAGCAGCGAGGTGCCGTGCCCCTCCCGGGATGAGGATTTGCACCAGTCCGTCAGGCCCCACACTCAGGAGCCTGGGCTCCCCTAGGAATGACGCCTCACTCGGCCTAGAGCCCCTCAGAGTCTGGCCCAGGACCAACTCCCCGCCCCCCCCCACACCCCCAGGTCTCAGAGCAGGGAAAACACAACCCACAGAAGGAGTGGCTACTGCCCTAGGCCAGCACGCCCACAGGAGATGCGTGACGGACACCAGCCACGAGAGGAACTGTGACCTGACTCCTCTTCCCCCAACAGAGTCTACAAGCAGCCAAGCACCGAAAAGAAACACACCTCTCTGGGATGTGTTTCTTTCTCTTTGCCCCATGGCAGCGGCGCTGGAGGTGGGCACTCGGCCTGTCGCTCCTGGCCAGGCGCAGGCCTGCCAGTTTCGAGGTACCTGGTGTGGCAGCCACATGGATGGTCCACCCACGCACGGGCAGCGGGGGTCCCCAGCATGGGCTTCCCCACTGTCTAAGGACTCAAGGGACTGGTTGTGAGCCCCTCGGCACAACTGCTAGCCACCTGGACTCTCTCTGTGAGGACCAGGCAGTGCATCATCTGTGCGGTGAAGACCGGCTCACGAAAGCCCCGCTTTGAAGAAACCCTCCAAAGGCGGCTTTCCCTCCGGGCCCTGCAAGGGGCTCCAGACCCACGGTCAGAGAAGCTTTTTCTGATTCCAGACGTGTGAACCCTGAGTCACAATGATAAGTGTGCTCCCAAAACATCGGGACAATTAATTTTGCTTTTTAAAACCCGACCATAGTTTAAACATCTATATAACTCAGGCAATGCAAGGAGCTACTCTTACTTGCTATTTGCTTATTACTATCAAGTTTTCTTAAAAGAAGCTCCACTACACTCACATATATCTTCCTCACCCAGTGTCACCCTACTTAGGCACTTGCCTCTGTCCTTGTCCCCACCCCCTGAAACAGCTGGCACAGGGGCACTGGAAGTAGCCCCAGAGCCTGCCCTCCCCGAGTTCCCAGAGGCCCAGCAGACGGAGGCTGCCACTGAGTGGGGTGGAGAACCAGGGGACTTGCCCGTATAGGAGAGACGGATGCAGACAGATGCGTCTGCTTCGCGCTGGGAAAGGTCCTTATTTATGTTGAAAAGAAATGGTCTGGGCCTGGGTGTTGTGCTTGTCCCTCTGCACCGCGCTCCATCTGACCCCCCACCCCCAACCCCACCATCCTTAGTGCAAGGAGTGAAGGAGACACCAAATGGTCTCATCACCACGCCCCTACAGAGAATGAGGCCCTCCCGCTCCAGGCCGTGAGAGGAGCTCAGGAACACTGCTTTTCCTCACACCACTGCGGAATCACAAGCAGTAGGAGGGGGGCCTGCTCTGCGAGGCCCATTCTGGGCCGAGGCCTTTGGTCTAGTCATCGCTACCAGTGACTCCAGACCCTGACCAAGTGAGCGAGCAAGCAAGCAACTCACCCACCCGCCAGTGGTTTGGCAGTGGTGGGTTAAGTCGATGTGGCCCAAAATCAAAGGGTCTGCTCCTACCGGGGGACCCAAAAACATCTTTATTAAGCATCTGCTCCTGTGGGGTGGAGGTCCCTCAGGAGGGCTGCCGCACCAGGTGGCAAGATCAGTGGTCAGGCCTCCTCCCCCCTAGACTTGAAAGGAAGCAAACATCTAGATAGAGCCACCCCAGAACAGAAAGTCAGACCGACAGAACCCTCATCCAACACGCTCCTTCTACAGGTAAGGAAACGGGGGTCCAAAGGGCAAGGAGCTCATGTTCTGAGTCAACTGTCTACAGGGTTTTGCATCCTGAGTTTCTGGAGAGAAGCCTCAACCTGTCTTCTCACCTCCCACTACCTTCGGCATGAAACTGCTCTGGGAAACAACTCTCCCCATTCCGGATCCAAAACAGCCAGGCAGTCACCCTCCTGCCTCTGGGCGACCCCACCACTAGCCATGTGAGCCTCCCCCTGGCCGGCCCCACCTACACTGGGCCTACAGTTGCACCCAACACCCGTCCACCGGAGTCCCCCCAACTTTTCATGTACTCTAGAAGCTCTAACCTCACTCTACCTTAGGCTAGCTGAGGCCAGTGAAACATGAATCTGAATTTTTTTAAACACTAGCACGGCTTAACTGCTCCAAAGTACTCAAAATTCACACTTTAGGTCATCTGATCCAATGGGCAGAAAAGCATGGTTTGTGATGATCATGAAATCTTTTGAAAGCACTGGATGCTTAAATGTACCGAATTTGCAACCTCATTAAACAGCCCCCTTACCAACAGGACGGAACCACCCTTGAACCCTTCATGGTGCGTTTGAGACCAAGCCAGCTTCATGAAAACCCACTTTCCACACATGGTGTTCGGGGCCTTTAATGGTGCACTCACAGACAGAGTGAGCAGAACACCCACAACTGGGAGATCTGAGGCCAAGCAGCTTTCCTGCTGGTTCCTCCAAGCACCAAGGCTCGGGGCTCTGGGCTTTAGCGAGAAGACTAACTACCAAGGTCACGGCTCAGACCACTCTATGCACACCACTGTAGGAGCCAGACGGTGGGTCTCAGCTCAGAAGTTTTCCGAGCAGACTCCACCCCAGCATCACCTGGCACCAGGATGGAGCCGCACCTGCCATTAACACCCTGGGAAGATGAAAGCCAACAGGTAGCAGAAAGTGGGGTGCCCAGGGTCACCCCCCTGACTTCAGCTAAGTTCTCATCTGGTTCAGATCCTACGGAGCAGGAATGGGGAAGAGACGAGAACAGTGTTCTCATATATCTATTTTGTTGTAAGCAAAAGTTACTTCTTGCCCCTGCCTCACACATCTGGGCAAAGAGGCAGCAGGCACCAGGATGAGCTGTTGGGGCCACTTACCAGCGGGGGTTGCGGCTGGGGGTGCTGCCCGGCCCCCGAAGGGGGTGGGTAGTGCATGAGCAGATTGAAGGCGGAGTAGACGGTGTCTTTGTACATGCCGCTGGCGCACTCTGGGGCCTTCAGGCCTGGAAAAACCACAGCTGGGTCAGACTCGCCAGCCGGATGGCTCGGGCTGAAGGCTGGCTGTCTGCTCTCTAGAGAAAAGTAAGACTTGCCAAGGGGTCCCCTTCGAGTTCGTGACTTGAGAAAGACCAGGATGGGGGTGCCCGCAGTGCCAAGTTTTGATGAAGAACCGAGTCCAGGCCTCCTCTTGGCGACCCCTACTCGACCCCCGCCCCACCAGCCGGCCAAGGAACCTTGGCCGACGCTTTCTCCCCAAGACAGGGGATCAGTCAGTCACCTGGGCAGGAGGGGAGGCAGAGATGGCGGGGGTCTGTTTACTCCTATAAAGGTCAGGGCACCGGAAGTGACTCGAGCCCGGAGGCGCCCGGGAAACCCGCCCCCACTCCTCCCACCCCCTCGGTTTTACCGCTTCCCGGAGCTGCAGCTTGGGGGAGGCAGCCCCTCGGCTCCCTCCCTCCTACGGGGGACTGGGCCTTAGCGGGTGGAGGGGAGCGGGGCAGTGCGGAAACTCACCGTCCTCCAGAGATTCTGTAAGTTTGTCGGGGAAAAGTCTCTGCGAAGTGTGTTCCCGCCCGATAGCCTGCGGAGAGATTAAGAAGGGCCGTAAGGGGCGCAGGAAAAGCTGGGGACTCGGGGCTAGGGACAAGCGGGGCTCCAGGGAACGGGGACCTCGAGGGCCGTGGCCCCGGGGAAGGAGTCGGGTGCGGGCCGGCGCTCACCTCGGCCCCGACCTCAGCCTCGCCACGGGCCCCGGCGCCAGCCCCCGGGACCCCCGCGCCGCCCGCCGCGCCCTCGGACTCATTGACTAGCGACGATTTGAGCTCGGCTAGGTCGCGCTCGGGGCCCGCGGCGCTGTCGCGGCTCTTGTCGTCCTGCTCCTCGCCCTCGTCTTGAAAGGCCAGCAGCTCGTCGGGCGCGCCTAGGTCGTCCCCGCCGCCTGCGCCGCCCCCGCCCGAGTCCAGCTGCGGCATGGTGCGCTCCGCCCGCTGGGGCGCGGGGCGCAGGAGTGAGGGGCGCGAAGCCGGCCCGGGAGGCGGCGAGCCCGGAGTCCGGACCTCCGAGCTCGAAGCGCGGCGGGCGGAGCGCGGGCTGACTCCGCCTGGGCGGGCTGCGGGCGCAGGGCGCTGGGCGCGGGCGCCGGACTCAGCGGCTAGGAGAGCTGGCGGGTCCGAACATCAAAGGCACCGCCGGCTGAGTGCGGGGGGCGGGGCGGGGCGATGGAGGCGGGCCAGGGTGATGGGCGGGGCCCAGATGCCCCGCCCCTCCTTTCAAGGGAGCGGCGGGGACACGCCCAGTGGGTATAGTCTTAAAGGGCTCGCTCTCCCTGTTGTAACTAGAGAGAGGTGTTGGACTGGACGACTTTGAAAAGCATCACCCATCTCCAAAAATGCGGGGACTTTAAAGGAGACTCCGACCCTGCCTCCTCACTAGGGGATTCCCGCCCCGCGCCTAGAAGTCCCCTAGGTTCTTTGGGTGTCCTGGAACTGGAGCCAAGGTGTGAACTGCCTCTGTGCCCCCCGGCCCAGGACGTTCTGGGCTTGGAATTGGGGATTTCCTAGAGCTTGGAACTGCTCAGAGGCCACCCCCGGGCCGGCAGTATTAGGCCTCCTCAAAGCCCCATTCTCCAAACCTATGCCGGTCAGATCCCCCCCTCACAGCACGGACATAAGCATATACCCGCCACACATTTATTGAGTGCCTGTTGCATATGGGGCTCATACATCACATTTGTGACTGCCTTTCAGCCATGTGGTGGCTCCGAGGCGTGAACACAGCCTAGAGGACTTGGAGGACAGACCCCGCCCCGCCCCCTCCCACCATAGGGATCTTCCAGTCACATCCTTTCCCTCCCATGACAGTTCCAACTCATTTCCACACCTAGATCCTGCGGCCCGGTGGTGCCAGGCTTTGGTCAGCCACGTGGGCCGCGGGATTCCGATGAGGGTTGAGTCGTGCGAAGCAATTTAACCCGGGAAGTCGCATTCCCGTGAAGCCCATTGACTGTGGGTCTGTCCCAAGCCGGCCCTCGCAAAATCCAGGCGTGAGAGTCCGGGAGGAGCACAGGAACCGCCAGTTTCCATCGCCTCTACGGGGCACCCGGGGTCGAGTCCGCGCGGGCCTCTACGGCACGCTTGGCCTCAGCTCAACCACGGAGTCTAGGCCCCTTTGGATCACTGTGCAGTGAACCGCAGCCCCCAGCAAGTTCCTGTGCTGGATTCAGTGTAGACGATCCCACCTCTCCCGAGAGCAACCGGGACAGAAGGTATTTGGGAGGGGAGTGTGTCTTGGACGCTTCTACGACTCAGAGTCTCAGGACCCCTGGCTGCGGTGCAAAGTCGGGCCGGAAGAGAGCCGCGCCGCCCCTCCGCGTCTGGGCCCAGCCTGGCTGGCTGCGGATCAAAGAGGCCCGGCCGTCCTTCCCCGCGTTCAGATCGTATCTGCGCCTCGGTCCGCTCCCCACCCCCACCTCAAGGCTGGAGTGCCTTCTTCTCCTCCCTTCCGGGGGCGAGGGGGGGTCAGGAGGAGGGGTGGAGATGGTAGAGGTGGGCACTGGTGCTCAGTTTGGCGAGTGAGTGGTGGGGAAGACCAGACGAACTAAGTTCCCCCAGGCAACTTTCCTGGTGTGAGCTTGCTGCTCCGGCTCATCTCATCCCCTCTAGAGTGGGGGGAGGGGTTCTAGCCAGACGTGGCCCAGTCCCTCCGCAGAGTGCCAGAGGAGGGGTCCTGGCCTGCCCCCACCTCAGCCCCTGAAGTTGTAAGGTCTGGCATTGGGATAAACCTCCTCTGCTGTAGCTCAGTGGGAATACCGATCTGCCTAATCCAAAGGCTTTGGGAGTCTTCTGCGCTCTTCAGGTGACCCTATTGTAGCAGGATGGAGCCTCTTACAGGACCAAGTTCCCCAGACTTGTGAGGTCCCAGGGGACACAGGCCAGAGGGAGCTGAAGTTTTCTCCAGTCCATGGAGAAAGGAGAGAAGTCAGGGCAACAGTGAGTGAGTTTGTTTTTCTTAAGAGGGCTAGTGTTTTTCAGCTTAAAGTATTAGCCTTTAATCAGAGGTTATGACCCTTCTGTTTTATTGATGTGAAAACAGCCTTTCTATACTGAAATGATGGTGAGAATTCTTTTTTTTTTTTAATGTTCTTATGTGGCAAGAGAAAAACTTGACAACTCTCCATTCACTTTCCTGCCCCTAAATTTCTTTGGGGCTCTGAAATCCCAAAGTCTGGGAACCGCTACCCTTACGGGTGGAACCAGGGAGGGGGCAGGTAAGTAGGGAGAACAGGTGTGTGGGGAGGGGTAAGGGAGGGAGAGACGGGCTGAGTCTCAGACATCCACAGCCACACTGACATCAGCCTGAAGGCCCGAGTACCTAACCCGGAGCTCAGGCAGTAGAGAGGGGAGGGGCTGAGGAGGCCACTCCAGGAGGCATTGGCTGCTGGAGAAGCTGAGAAATTGTTAGAGCCAAGTTTGTTTCTGGATTGGTTTATATGAACCCTGGGCAGAAGGAGCTCAGGCTCGATGAGATCCAGGGGTCAGGCTGGCTTCTTGGATGAGGCAGACTTCATCTGGGCCTGGAAGGCGATGTAGGGCTTGGAGCGGCAGAGAGGAAAAACCGAGGAAAAGGAGATTGGGCTCGTCCCCACAAGGCAGGTGCGGGCCCTGTAGCAGCCCCTTGTCTGGTGAGCACTGATTCTGTCATCGTCATCCACATAGTGGCTTCCTGTTACTGAGTGATCACCATGTACCAGGCATCACGTCAAGAGCCTTGCACACATTATCGCATTTAATCATCACACCGACCCTATGACATAGGGACTATGCCCATTTATGAATGAGGAAACCAAAGCTCAGAGAGATTGAATGAGTCACCCAAGGTCTCACAGCTCAGAAGCGAGGTTATCAGAATTCCAAACTCAGGTGGTCTGACTCCTGAGCCCACACCCTAACTTTTCTATCTTTCTTTCTTTTTAAAGATTTTATTTATTTTTAGAGAGACGGGAAAGGAGGGAGAGAGAGGGGAAGAGAAACATCATCTGGTTGCCTCTCGAGTCCATACGCACACGACCCCAACAGGGGACCTAGCCTGGAAACCAGGCATGTACCCCGACTGGGAATTGAACCTGTGACCCTTCCGTTTGTGGGACAACCCTCAACCCCCTGAGCCACATCAGTCGGGGCACACACCCTAACCAGTGTTCCATTCTGACCTCTACAGTTTCAGTGGGGTCCTTATCTACTTTGTGGTCTCGGCAGACAAACACTGATGAGTGAGCGGTCACCGATAGATTTTGTGCTTTACGAGTGACTCATGCTGCGTGAAGGAGGAACTGGAGAATCTCCCTGGCTAGTCTGGATGGGGTGGCTCCAGCTCTTCGCTGGGTGAGAGGGTCCTGAGCACCTCCCTTGAGTCAGAGCAGCCTCAATGTGGACCAGCTCCTGCTGGGCCCACCCTGGACTGCCTGCTTAGGGCACTGACTCAGATGCTGCGATGAGACAATAGGCCCTGGATTCTTCCACAGAGAGGTGACTAAGAACTGCTGTGGCTGCACCCTGGATGGAACCTGCGAGGTGTGGGCCAGGGCCAGCTGCAGGGAGGCCCCAGAGTCTTCTAGACTTGCGAAGATTTGGGAGGGCTGGAGATTTAGCATCACCAGCTTCATCTTCATGCAGATAAACCAGGCGGGCCTGTGCTATCCTCGGATGCTGGATGCCGGACGAAGGGCTCTCACGGACTGAGGGCTGGAACAAGAGAGTTCTGGCTTTGGATTTGGGCAGACCCGAGATTGCACCTCTGCCCTGCCGTTTACTAGCTGGGGGGGCTCCAGACAAATCACTGCCCCTCTCTGAGGCTCTGCTGCCTTATGCGTGAAATGGGCATCACACCTGAGCCTGCCTCCCCCTGGGGAGTGAGGTGGAGGTGCATCACGTACCCCAGGAAAGAACTCAGCAGCATGACGCCTGGCACATTCTGAGTGCTCTAATAAATGGGTGCTCTTGAGCTAGAAGTTTTTCGGAAGTTGTTAGGCTAATTGGCTCTTCATGTAACGTCATGTAAATCATTTGAGTGTTCTCATGGCCTGAGCCCTCTTAATCACAGCTAAAGCTGAAAATATACATTTCCTTTCTTTCAAGTTCCTTTAACATGAAAGGCCCTCATGAACTCTGACCTTCTCTAACAGGGAGACCCTTGAAATGTAGCATTTCCAGAAAATGGCTCAAAGGAGCCCCAGATGGATTTGGTAAATTACAACGGGGAGCGGTTCCCCGCGGTGTCTTGCCCTGCCCACCAGCCAGCCGGGCATCCTGTCCGGGCTTGCCGAGCGCTGCCGGGAGGCCGGGAGGCCGGGGGCAGGGGCGCCCGCTGCGGCGAAGCCTCCTCTCAGGGCACAGGCTGGTCAGGCGTCCCAGGGGCAGACTGTGGTTTGTTACTAGAAGCACAGTTCGCTCTCTGGAGACTCTGTGTCGTTTCACTGCATGTTTGTGTGTGTCTCCGTGTGTGTGCGTGTGGGTGGCTTTGGCCTGAGAGTGGCAAGGACACACAGTTGCTGTGATGCCCCCACTGGGACTGGGCAGCTGCCTTACAATGAAGCAGGAAGGGTTTGGGGTCACCTTTCTTTCTTTCTTTTTTTAAGATTTCATTTATTTATCTTTAGAGGGGAAGGGAAGGAGAGAGGGAGAGAAACATCAATGTATGGTTGCCTTTCGTGCGTCCCCTGCTGGGAATTGGCCTGCAGGGAACCGCCTTCAACCCAGGCATGTGCCCTGACTGGGGATTGAACCGCGATTGTCTGGTTCCCAGGCCCGCGCTCAATCCACTGAGCTACACCAGCCAGGACTGGGGTCACCTTTCTTTATTGTCTTCAGTGGGCTCTCTCCCCTACCAGCCACCCCACCCCGCCCCCGGTTTTGTGCCATAGCCAAGAATTGCTCTTCAAATAAAAACTTAATAATAAAGTGAGATGTTAGCTATCCCTGATGAAACCCCAGGGAGTTTGGCCAAATTGGCTTGAGGGGTGCTGGTAGCGAGAGGTGACAGAGAGCTACCCCACAGCTTCGGAGGGCTCGTTAGGATGTTCCCAATGAATGTGGCTGGGATTTACTCACCAGAGAAATGAATAGCCCTGGGTTTCCACGGCAAAGGGCCTGGAGTCAAAGGCACCAAGGCGTCAGCAGCAAAGGCAAGCCAGGAATGGCTGGCACGTGCCACCGGGGGCACACTGGTCTCCCCGGAACTTGGTAGCGGAAGGCCTGCATCCTGGTTCCCAAGAGGACCTGCGCCGGATGCCGCGGCTGCTGCCACGCCCAATGCCCACAGCCAGTGGAGGCTCTGAGAAGCCCTGCCCAAGAGAAATCCTGTCTCGGCTCCTTCGGCCGAGTACCTCCAAAATGTATTTGACCATGAAACTGTTTTTCTATATATAATTTTCCAAAGAACATGGCTCCTCCGAAAGTCCTTGTGGGAAATGCTGATACCCCTGGTTTCGGGAGGCAGGACGAGTTTTCCTTATCCCAGAATGCATTCTGGCTTGTGTCTCTGATATGGAGAAAATTAGCAAGCGTTACTTTCCACACTGGTCATCACAGCCGTAGTGAGGCTTCGCCCCGGCCCTGCCGGACTCGCAGCTTCCTGGGATGATGGAACTTTACCTGCACCCTTGCCGAGCGCCAACACAGGCCACGCATGCTGCCCCTGGGGTGGAGCTCTTATGTAATGGGTCAACCCAGCTCAGCTCCGCGGCTCTTCCCAGGGGGGCTCTTTGCTGGGGACCCTACGGTGGCTGAGACGCCTTGTTTGGTGAAGGCTCATATGTGGTTTCTGCCTCCTCCGGGGGGGCCATGCTGCCTTCTCCGTCCACAGGGGTCTCTCGCCCCCCAACTCTCGTGGCCTTTGGAGTAGGAGCCACTCAACTTTGTGAGCAATTCAGTCTGTTTCCTGTGAGTCTCTTGTTCTTCCACTGTTATGTTTGTGGGCTGAGGGTCAAGAGCTGGCCTTGAGCCTCACAGTCTCTGTGTGAACTGGGGCTTCTCCACTTACTAATTGTGGGTGGGACCTTGGGCGAGTCACCTCCCTCTGGGAGCCTTCTGTGCCTCATCTCTTACATGAGGGCAAAAATAATACGTGTCTCAGAGAGCTGGGAAGATGGGGTAAGTCCCTGCTGGTCAAACACGGAGCACGGTGTCCAGGGCAGAGCAGGCACTTGCTAAGTGGTGACCAATGTCGGTTATTTTCCCTGGCAGCGAGGCTGTGCTTGGGACCAGGCCCTTAGAAGCACTTAGCAGAGGTGGTCCCTATATTCCTGTAGCCCTGCTGGTCATGGGGTGGACGGGGTAGGGGCGGGAGTGGGGCTCAGCACCAGGAACCCTGCCTTCTGAGACCAGGCTGAGGCCACCAAGTACTCAGGCCAAGTGGGGACTCCTGCCAAGCAATGGCCATCTCCAGATGTCTGCCAGCCAGAGGGAGTGGCTGGCCTGTGGGGCCCAAGGGCAAAGACAGGACTAATGGGAGGAAATGACACCAAGGAGCAATTTCATCTAGCTGGTCTACCAGTCAGAGCCGGCCACCCGTGGCCCCCCCAGGCCTCCACCAGAAGCCCTGCACTCCCTGTCACCAGAGGTGTGAGAGCAGAGGCCAGGGGCTCCCAAGGGAGGGAAGCCACTGGTGGGGTTTCTATCACAAGGCTTCTCCCAGGCTGTGGGCAGTCACTTGTACTTCCTGTGTGGCTCTACCCACACTGGGCCCACTTGAGCTGCTGTAGGCGTCTGAGCAAGGACCGGCTGTGAGGTGAGTGTGAGGGCAAAGGCTTGAACGTCCATCTCTGGCTCCAAATTGGAGCTGGGGGCTTGGGGGAAGGGTCTCTGTGACAGGCTGATCACATGGGGGAGGGAGGTTAATAATAACGGCATCGCCTTTTGGGGAAGCAGCTTAGTGCAAAGGCCAGGGGCTTGGACCGGGAGCCCATTCCACGCCCGGGCACTTGCTCAGGCCTGCGGGGCCGGGGAGGACAGAGCTCGGCGGTGGGGTGGGGCCCGTTCCTCAGTCAGCTTCCTCTCGCTTGCTTCAACTTCCAAAGTCAGAGGCTGGAAAGGGCGGGATGGGAGGAAGTGGGAGAGGAAAGAGCCTAGGTTTCCATTTTGGCTCCACCACTGGGCATCTCCGTGACTTTGGTCAGGTCACTTTCCCTCTCTGGGCTTCAGCTCTCTCCTCTGTAAGATGGAATGATGGTAATACCCATCTCACTGGGTTCTTGTAAGGCTTAAGCGAGTTAGTGTTTGTGAAGTACTTGGAATAAATAGTTTTGGGCCCATAGTAAGTACCCTATAAATATTTGTTAAATAGACAAAAATGAATTGAACAACTCATCTATGCCTAGCTTGTTAATATGCAAGGGGCTTTTACATCAACCACCTTGTTGAGTCTTCACAGAAGCCTAATGAATTTGAAAATACTATTGTTAGGGAAATGAGTCCGAGAAAGTCAGGTTCCTCGCCCAAGATCACACAGCTGGTGGGAGGCAGAGCTAAGGTTTAAACTCAGGGTGGTCGGTGTCCTGGACTCCGACTCCCTGAGCCACTCCGCACTGCCCTCCGCCCGCCCCCCTCCCAGCCCCCGGAGATTGCCCCAGCACCTCTGGGGAGGTCAAGTGCTCGCAGGAGCAAGGCTACAGCAGGTCTTCGGGCAAGGGGCACTCAGTGAAGCCCCACCCCCTCTCCCCACCCCCACTTACTCAGGCTGGAAGCCCCCTCTCCCCGTCTGCCTGGGAGAAATTTCTCTGACTAATTTGTGGCAATGTTGCTGGGTGGCTCCGATTACAAACTGCAGTCCTGCTTCCTCCAGCTGAGTAATCTGCATGGTGGGGGGGAGGGGGTGGTCCTGGAGGCAGCCAGTGTTCTAGGGCTGGCTATGTCTGCCTCCGCGGTGACACCACTGAGGGAGCTGGACCACCCCAGACAGCCCCAGGGACAAGTGCCGGGAACTGGGCTCCCTACAGTCTCTCTGGGTGTGTGTGTGCTGCGGGGGACTGCGGGCCTAGGGTGCCCTTCTTGCCCCCATCCCTTCTGTCCCAGCGGGAGCCTTCTGTCTTGCCCGCGACCGGGTCCCCTGGACTGAGCCAGGGCCTGGCAGAAAGCGGATGTTTCATGAATGCGTGTTGGACTCGAGAATGTCTCCAGATGCTAGCACTGGGCTTCACTGTTCACAAACGTCCTTCCCGTCTGTTATCCCGTCGGATTCCCCCAACAGCCCTGAGAGAGAGGAAGGTCTTTCAACCCCATCTTGCAGATGAGGAAACTGCAGCCCACAGAGAGGAAATGACTTGCCTAAGGTCACATAGCTCAAAGCCGGGTCTCAAGGCTCCAGATTAGCTCTGTAGCCCCCAGAGACACCTCCCCTATCCTTGTATGCAGACAGTTGCAGGGGAGGCGGAAGGAACCCAGAGTTGGCAGAGGCCACCAATGGCCTCTTTAAGCCCAGAAGTGCTCCTCAGAAATGGTTAAGAGGCAGAGACACACCCACCAGGGCTTCTAAAGGGAGAGGGGTGACAGGGTGCTGAGGGTCATTCATTTAGGAAGCAAGTTCTTCCCAGCCTCTTGGGAGCCCGGATAGACAGAGAGGACCAGGCCCTTAGGATTTCTCTGTCGGGTGGGCGGGTCCAAGTCTCAGTCCCAGAGACAGGGCACAGGAGCTCTGCCTCATTAGGGGGAGCGGCACTCTGGTTCCTGGAGACCGAGCACCAGTGGCCTCTTGGGGACGCCCCCTTCCCACCCCTCCAGGCTCTGAGCTGGCTCGGGACCCGCGGAGCCAGGAGCCAGCCTGCATTCTGCAGGGGGTGAAAGTGCTTCTCTGCACCTTCGGGTCGCTGGTGGGCCCCTGCTGACGACTGCGGTTTTCCTCGTCAGCTTTGCTCTTTTTACTCTTTGTTCACGGCTCTATTGTTACTGACTCCTTCAAGGCTTTCCCCTGCTGGTCAAGCTTTGTCTTTTGTGTGTAGAATTTTAGAGCTCCTCTCCTCTCTTCTTTCTCCTCTCAGCCCATGGTTTTGGCAGATGCTAAAGCAGGAGGCAGGTTGGGCGACTATAAAAGCAACTTCCCCTGAACCTCTCATCTAGCCCCTGCCCTCAAAGGGCCAAGGGAACCCCCAGGGCAGACCCATGGCTGGAGTAGGGGTAGTGCACCCCTTTGAACTGGGTGCTTTTCGAAGTGGGAACTTTGGTGCCTCAGCCCTGCACATCCAGCTCCCTTTGTGTCAAGAAGATCACCTCACTCTGGGGGGCCTGCAGTGCCCTGGGAAACTTGGCAGAGACTGAGAAGGTGGGGGATGGGGCCTCTGCTCATCCTGATTCATTGTGGGACTAGGTCTGTGGCCAAAAACTCCCTTTCTGAGACTCGCAGCCCCTCTGGTTGGGTGGAGGTTTCTTGGTTGCAGCAGGCTGCTGTGATGGATTCCTGGCCGTGGGCCGGGGCTGGGCCGGTCCCCGGCCTTCCGTGTTGACTGTGGGGCTGGTGCTTGATGACTGGTGTCTGGAAGGACAGGTCTGCAGAGCTGAGAGCCACCAGGTCTCAGAGGTTCACTTGAATTCCTACTTCTACCTGGGAGATGCCCCTGCCTCCAGCTCAGCCCTGCACCCAGAACCCAAACTGGGGCAGGACAGGAGTCCCAAGTTCCTCCACTCACAAGAGAATAGGGGTGGGACCCGGCTGATGCCGAACTACTCCTGTTTGTGGGGCTGAGCTCTAACATTTTGCATTAGAAGGTGAGATTCAGATCTGCAGTCAAAAGCTCTTAAAACCCCTTTTATTACTGGAACCTGTACGTGAGACAGGCCCACAGCAGCCTGCACCCCAGCGTGGGAAACGCTACCTCGGCCTTTCCTCTGCACTCACAGAAAGTCCCCCAGGTGCCCCGGGCACCCGTTCTCAGGCTAGTCCGGGAACAGAGCGGTGATGCTTGAGCAGGAGGTCTGGGCCAGTCTCGCTCACGACTGGTGTCCAAGCCCCAGCGATGTGTGAGCTGGGGGAAGGGGAACTTAGAGAATTACACTATGTGGGCAGGAGCCTGGTGTGATTACGTGCCTGGGGCGAGGTTGTACAGGCCCTCGGAGGTAGTGTTCAACATGCATCTGAATTTCCAAGGCTGAAAGCCTTTAACTCAATTTGTTGTTTTTTTTTTTAATTTACTGATTTGAGAGAGAGAGAGAGAAACATTGGTTGATGTTTCTCTCATTGGTTGATTGATTCATGCACTCATTGGTTGATTCTTGCATGTGTCCTGACGGGGGGGGGGGCGGGGGGGGGGGGGGGGGCGGAGAACTTGCAGCCTTGGTGTATCAGGGTACTGCTCCAACCAACTGAGCTGCCCAGCCAAAGCTGAAAGCCTTTTTAAAAGAAGGTGTAGTTCAGTGGATTGAGTGCGGGCTGCGAACCAAAGGGTCACCAGTTCAATTCCCAGTCAGGGCCCATGCCTGGGTGCGGGCCAGGTCCCCAGTACAGGATGCATAAGAGGCAACCACACATTGATGTTTCTCTCCTTCTCTTCCCCCCCTCTCTGAAAATGAATAAATAAAATCTAAAAAAAAATTCTATGTAAAAGGAAGGGTTTATTGGGTCATATTAGTAAGGACCAAGCCCTGGGGCTTGAAGTCTAAACTGCCAGCTGCAGGGATGGATGGGAAAGACAACATGTCCCCTCCTCCAGGCACTGAAAGGCTCCTTCATACATCAAGCAGCAGGAAGAAAGATGTAAGTTTCGGCGAGGAAAAACCATATACTAGACCTAAATGACAGGTGCCGGAGAGGGAGAGAAAGAGACAGGACAGGTAGCCTGTGCATCGCTGTGGCCCAGCTCTGCCAGGAGACTGCTCACATGCCAGTGTATCTCCTGGGATTTAGGGTCGACTTCCAGGTGGCTATGTCTGAGATTACCCAAAAGAGAACAGACAAGCACCACTGGGCCCCGGGAGCCTCCTTTTCCTATTTGCAAATGAATTTCCCAATCTGCTGCCCACAGCTAATCCTCAGGGAAAGATGCCTCTTCCTGTGAGCCCTCTTCGCACGGTCCCAGACGAGCCCCACTTCACCTTCTCCAGCCCACGCCTCCCGCCCCCCTACTGCTCATGTAAATCCTCTCAGAATAGCTTGCATCTTTCTCCCCTACTCGGTAAGTAAAAAGTACTTGCAAAACTCCAGGACAATGGACCTGGGGCTTTTCCCACCCAGACGTGCTGCTGGGGGTTTAGACTCCACCCCCCCAAGACCACTCTACTTTTTTTGCTAGCCATGACTGAATAAACCCTTTCTTTTAGAAAGACTTGCAGCCGGTGGGAGTCAACCTTTTTTGTCCAACAGTTGTTTTGAAAGAATTGACAATGGCCATAGATGAAGAGGGCGGGAGAAGGTGAATCGGGGCTCACTCTGGGACAGGTGCAGGGTCCTACCCAAGAAGCGTTTGCTTTTTAGGGTTGGTTACAGGCCACAGTCCAGAAGAGGTCACGTGTATGCAGGATGGCTCCCGCAGATCTCCTGATCTCCTGATCTCCTGAGCTGCTAGAGCTCAGTCTCAGGAGATCAGGAGATCACCAGGATCCCCAAACATGCAGACAGGGGAAACTGAGGCCCCAAGAGGCAGGACCTGCCTGGGTCTCAGAGGCCATTTGAGCTCCTTCCTCTACTCCACAGTGCCAAGAATTTAAAAGTCATCTGCCCTAAGCTCAGGAAATCTTGGAACATGCAACCAAACAAAACGAACAAAAATCCAAAGTACCCACTTAGTGTATTGAGCATGAGTTACTTTTGTAATAAAAAGAAACCATTTAATGTTATCTTTAAAATGCAGATGGAAATAAAAACTTGCGGGCCGGGTGGAGCTCGGGAGATTGCTCCATTACAAGCCGCCGTTCACTCACTACCCTGGCCTCGCGTGACCAGGCGTTTCCTTGGGAAGCCTCCACTCTCAGCTCAGTCCTGGGTTGCATCCCATTCCCAGGTTGAGCCACTGGGGACGCACACAGGCTCCCCCTGGTGGTGGCTCTGTGTCTGAATTGCAGGGACGGGAGGAATGGTGGGTGATGCTTGTTAGGTCCCTGGGTCCCTGTCTCCCCTACAGGTGCCACCACTGCATACTCGATGGTGGCAATGGATGTCACTGACAGAACTTATCCCCCTCGGTCATCATGGAGTAGTACAGGGTTCTCATCGGGGCTCTGAAGCAGGCCTGGTAGCCACATGTGTGGGTTCAACAGAGACTCAGAAGAGGGTCTTTTAGAATAAGGTCCCTCACAGGGTCCTAAAGGAGGTGACAGGCTTCGTGAGAGTTCCTTAGCGTCTTGCCTGAGCCGTGCATTCAGTGTCAGTGATAGAGCTGTGGCACAGCTGGTGAGGCCACACCCTGAGTTTGGGGGTCAGGGATCCAGGCTCTGCCCTGGTGGGGCACCAGCTGGGAGGGTGATAGGAGCGAACAGCGGCAGTATTGGCGCCGCTGGAGCTGATGGAGTGCCTCCTGTGGGCAGAGCCTCACAACAGCGCTGGGAGACCGGGGTCTGTGGCGGAAATTTAATGGAAAATCTCCGAGGCAGAGAGAATAATACAGTGAACCCCCATCTGACCCATCATCCCGATTCCACAGTTATCAAGATTTTGCCATATTGTTTCATGCACCCTTCTCTCTCTCTCTCTTTCTTTCTCTCTCCTTTTTATTCTTCAACTGACATTCTCTCTCTTTTTAGTTAAATAGTATAAGGACAGTCCCAAACATCCTATCATGTCACCTTTGCATGCTTTAGTATATATTTCTAAAAATATGGACACTTTCCTACACAACCACAGAGCCATCATCGTATCTGAAAAAAAAAGCAAGTAATAGTTCTGGGCGGTTTTTAACAACCGGCCTGTGAGGCGGGTGTGCTAACTGCCTGCACGTCACAGAGGGGGGCCCGGAGGCTCTGAGAGAGCAAGTCACCTGGCCCTCAGTCACACCACGTATTAGTGCGGGGATGGTATTTGAGCCCAGGGTGTCTGACTTAGGAGCCCCCCCCCCCCAGTGACTCTGTCTCTGGGCCTTAGTTTCCCTCTCTGTAAAGTGGAGAATATTATGGTTGCTTTGCTAATGTGTGAGTGTACCATGTTTTTCTTCTTTTTTTTTTTTAAATCCTCACCCAAGGACATTTCTTCATTACCTTTAGAGAGAGAGGAAGGGAGAGAGAGAAGCATCAATTGGTTGCCTCCCACATGCGCCCTGACCAGTGATCAAACCTGCAGCCCACGTATGTTCCTTGACTGGGAATCAAACCCATGACCTTTCGGTTACAGGATGGCACTCCAACTAACCAAGCCACACTGGCCAGGGCTGTACCATGTTATTCTTCTAAATTCTTCTAATGATAATAATGAAGATAATAGTGAAATGAAGCAGTCGGATGAATTAATAGAAAGCTGGCATAATAACAAAGAAATATGACGATTCGAGGAAATTAAGGTTTGCTGAGTCCCCGTGTTGGCTCCCCCTTATCTCATGTGATCTGCGCCCCAGCCCTGTGTTTGCCAACTGACGGCTTCATTTTACAGGCGAGGAAGCTGGGGGCCCAGAACCCGAGGTTGGCCCCCTGGTAGCCAGCGGGCACGGGACTTGGAGCCAGGCTGCTGTGTGGGAAGGGGGGCAGGGGGCTAAAACCCTGGGTTGTGTCTGGAGCTGAAGGTGGCCTTTGCTAAGGGCTTCGGGCCATGCTGCCACCACAGTTAGGGATGTGCCGGTTAGAATTCCGGCCCACAGGCAACAGAACTCAGCTTCAGTGGTCTAGGGCAGAATAAGGGTTTATTGAAAGAGTGTGTCATGGCTCCCACGGTGGAGGGGAAGGAGGAGGCCAGGCTGAGAAAAGAGGAGCGTGAAGCGCCCCTGGGGCCTGGGAGGCAGCAGCTGCTCAGTAGTCCCAGCTGGGCTTCCCCCAGGGACGAACCCTCCTCTGCCTATTTCTCTGCTCAAACAGATTTTCCCAGACCTGGAACCCTGGGGGGCAGTAGCAGGGGGCCCGGCCCCTGCCCACCCTAGCAAGGGGAGCATGGCACTTCCTTGGAGGGTTCCAGAGTGCTGGGCAGTGCCAGGACTTTTACAGGAGTCACAGGGAGAGGGGCCCAAGGGGCTTCCCCAGAGAAGACGCACCAGGCTCTGGCTTTCACACTGTAATTTTGCTTCTGGCCCTCGGAGTGTGAGTCACATGTGAAAGTCTTGTTTTGTGAGACCTGTGCCTGCTGCCGCCGCCACCTTCACGGCAGCTGCCATTTCGAGGCAGGAGTCCCAGGCCCCAGGCAGGACCTCCTCTCTGCTGGGCGCTGCCGCTGTGGGAGCAAGACATTAGACACTATAATCTGGGGCCCAGTGTTGGGCTGATTTTCTATCCTGTGCATCAAACCAAATAGAATGCAAACAGTATGCAAATAAGGGGGTGCCCTTGGAGCCCAGTGGGTGGGTACGATGTGCAGGGGACTTGGCTCTGTGCCTTGCAGAAAGTGTTCCACCCAGCTCACCCCCTGGGGAGAGCCCTGACCTCAGGCAGACCCATTTTCTCCTCCTGGAGACATGCTGGGCCTCCGGCAGGGTCTACACCCCAGGCGCTTAGAACTCCCTGACTCCACAAGTGGCCTCAAAAGGCCTTAACAAGTGGGTATGGAGGAAAGTCTAAACTGACAAATAAAAAGCATTCAGCTACTTATGTTTTCCCCACTTGTGCCCTCTGTGCAGGGCTGGGCACACAGGGCCTGCTGCATGGACCGAGGGTCCGCCTCAGGGCTGGGCTGTAGGTACCAGCAGAGCCTGGGAGATATAAGTGGCTCCCCTCCCCCTCAGCCTCAACCCTGGGCCTGGACCACGGATTCTGGAGAGACCAGGAAGGGGACTGGGAATAGCTGACTCTGGAGAGAGTGTGGGGGCTGTTTCACACCTGGCAGGGGCCCTAGAGACTGCAGACAGGATGCCCTCCTGTGCCAGGCTGTGCCAGGCTGTGCAGGTGAGAAGAGGAGCCAATGGGGAGAAAGGGGATGAGAGGGACGCCATGGGCCCCAGCCCCCTCACCACATCCCTGAGAAGCGGAGGGCTTAACTTCTGAGAAGTTCAAGGGCCCCTCTCATCCAGGGGTCATTCTATGGTGACCAGAGAGCAGGCCAGGCCCAGCCAGAGGCTGGCTTTGCCTGGCGGCCTGAATGGCAGGCCCTGGAAAGCCCGTGGAGTAAGAATCTGGCTCACCTGCGGCTGGAAGCAAGTGCTCCCCATTTCCTCATCTGAAGTTTTATTTAAAAGAGTTTTGTGTTGTGGCAATTCTGGGTGAAGTTCCTGATGATCTGATTTTAAAAGCAGCCCCTCCCCCCCTTCAGTGAGTTGCCATAGAGACGCTTCGGAGGCAAAACAGAGCTAAGGAAGCTCTCGGTGGGCCTTTTGTGTTCCCAAATGTTTTCCATTCTGGGCCCTGAACTTGTAATTAGATTATTTAGCATGGACTTTTTCTTTTATTGTAAATTAATTTTGAAACCAAGTTTTGAGGTCAAATCATGACTGTATTTCTTAATCATTCTGATCCGTGTTTCTTTCTGAAAGAAAAGAGGGTGCCATTGTCAAAGTGCTGGGGACATGGTGTTTGGGGACCTGGGGGCTCTCACCGCGGCAGCGATGGTGGCCTGACAGCCAGCACCAGTCTGGGTCAGTGTCTTGTTCTCAGACGGTGATGTGTTTTGGGGTGTGTGCTGGGGACCGTGAACCTCAGTGATGGGCTGGGTCCTCCTGAGAGGGGGCTGCAGGCCCCTTGGCCAGACCTCCGTGTGCCTGCTGGTGAACCCGTAAACCTCCATCCAGGTGTGGGTGGGAAGGGCTTGTCTCTTAAGCCAAGGAACAGGCACCTCTGCCTGCAGGGCCCGCCACCTCCCCAGTCCCGTCTCCCCATCAGAACGGGTTTTGATGTTTTTCTCCAGGTTTCTCTATCTTGGCAACTGTGGACGTTTTTAGCTGGGTGACTTTTCGTCATGGAGGCTGCCCTGCGCACTGTCGGATGTCTGGCAAGGTCGCCGACCTCGATCCCCCACCCACCTGAGGCAGGTAACATTTGCATGCCTCCACCCCCCCAACACCACAGGTGTCACCTAATGTCTCCTTGGGGATGAATTACCCCCGGTGGAGAACCGCTGAATTAAAACACAATACATATTCATTGTAGAAAACAAGACAAAAATAATCTCTAATTCCTGGATCCAGAGTAAATCCTGATAAATATTTGGAGGACTTCTTTCCAGACCTTTTTCCTGCATATATGCATTTTTTCTCTAGAGGGAGGGTTTAAAAATTTTTTTCTATTTATTGATTTGAGAGAGAGAGAGGAACATCAATTTGTTGTTCCACTTAATCTATGCACTCATTGGTTGATTCTTGTATGTGCCCTGACTGGGGATTGAACCTGCAACCTTGGTGCATCGGGGTGACACTCTGACCAACTGAGCTACTCAGCCAGAGCCATATATGCATTTTTTAAACTCTTTTTTTAAGATTTCATTTATTTATCTTTAGAGGGGAAGGGAAGGAGAGAGGGAGAGAAATATCAATGTATGGTTGCCTCTCATGCGTCCCCTGCTGGGAACTGGCCTGCAGGGAACCGGCCTGCAACCCAGGCCTGTGCCCTGACTGGGAACCGAACCTCGATCGATCCTCTGGTCCGCAGGCCAGGCCCGCACTCAATCCACTGAGCTGCACCAGCCAGGGCTGCTCACCAGGCTTTTACCTCCGGTACCAGGGGTCCAGGGGTCGATGTGGCCGTTCACCCGAAGGTGGTGCGCCATGGGGACTGCCTCACACTCACACGAGTGCACCACTTACAAAAAGTCACCTAGGCCCAGGGCTGCCTGGCCCAGAGCATGGGCTTGCGGTGGCCCAGCCCTCCCCGGCCTGGGCGGGAGCCCCGAGTCAGGGGCCTTTGGGGCCTCATCACTGTGTACTCTGCCCCGGACATGGCAGCTCCACCCTGCTCTGCCCATTGGCCTTAGGACATGGGGACATGGGCCACTTGGGGGAGAGTACAGAGGCAGCTGCCCCTTTTCACGTCTTTTCAGGCTTCACGGTGTTGACCCCCCACTGAGGATGGCCTGGGAGAAGGTCTGCTGTCACTCCAGTGTCTGAGCTGGACCCTGCTGTGGAGGGCGGCGGGAGGCAGGGCAGGTATCTGTCAGGTGCCCCTTCCGCCTGTCCAGGTGGCCAGTTTGGAGGTCAAGGCCCAGAGTCGGCTGGGACTTGCTGCCCTGCAGCAGGATCCAAGAGCTCCAACCAGCAAGATTTGTGCTTGATAGCAGGAGGCAGCGCTCAGCCCTGTCCACCTTGGCCTTAACCCAAGTGGTGGGGCAGCTACGGTCCACCCTCAGGCTGCTGACCCGGCCAGTCCTGGGTCACACAGCCTATGGGGCACCACAATGGGCTTTGAGCTGTGGGTGTCGGGAAGGTGACAGTTACTCTCCAGATGGGCAGGGAATTCCGGCGGGTGGGCCTTGCAGAGTTGTCTCGCGGCACTCCCCAGAAAAGGAATGGCCAGAGGGAGAGGGCTGTGCTTTCTGTCCCCCTCTGGGGGGTTGCGGCCCAGCAGTGCCTCCCCTCGGGGGAAGGCTCAGTCCCCTCTGGACGGCAGGAAGGAGTGCTCTCACCCCGGCTCCTCCCAGAACTCTCTGCCTTGTGTGCGGGCCTGTGCTCTCCTCCCCGGCCCACTGCTTCGAGTCTCACACGAGGGATGCTGGTGGGAATCTGGAACGCTTCCTTCTCCCACCTCCGGAAATCTGAAGTCACTCCTGGGAGGCCCGGTCAGGCCCTGCGAAGAGGCAGCGCCAGCCAGCTGCGCAGCGACGGGTCCGATGGGCTTGGGCTGGGGTGGGCTTCCTGGCTCTGCCTCGTGTAGAAACAGCCCGCTCAGCCCAGAGTCCCGAGGCCTGGCCGGTGTTCCTGTGGACACACAGCGCCTACCCGCAGGGCTACCGGAGCACCGCTGTGGGCACACGGCTCCATGGGACATGCATGGTCGTGCTAAGGACACACACACACACACACAAGTGTGTCAGTCTTGCCGCCACAAGTGTGTCATCGTCACTATGCCTCCGTGCTCCCAATACAGAACCTCAGGCCTGATTAAAAATAAGCGGTGATCTTGCCCAGCACAGGAGCCAGTGGCTTCCCCCAGGGCATGTGAAACGGGCACCGTGTACGCCTAACTCTTCAGGGCCTGGTCCAGCTCTATCAGGTGAGCTGCACCTGCGCGCCGATGATTCACGAGCACATGCAGGCCGGCCACGGGCTGGGGGAGTGGCTGCTCCCGGCCACGGCAGGTCTCTGGCGGATTTATGACTCAGGGTCAGGAATCCATAAACCGCCTTTATCCCTGGGAAAGATGACGATGCATTCACTCCAAAGAGGTCTCAGCTGGAGTCTTCGGCAAACCCTGGTCGGAGCTGAGAACCATCAGACGAGGGACTTCCAGCAGTTCTACTGGTCCCTGAGGAGAGGCGAGGGCTGCGACCGAGGAAGGAGACTCGAATGGAAACCTGTGCTAACCCGAGCCCGGTAGTGGCTGTACCGGACTGTTTGCCTGTGTTACCGGTACAGGCCTGCAGCCCTGGGGGCGGGGGCAGTGGGGTCGGCGAGGGGAACCCGGACCAGAGAGACCTGAAGTCAGCGTTGGCGCTCCCCCAGAGAAACCCGCCTATCTTCTGGATGAGGAGATGGGCCGGAAAGGTGAAGACACGGCCCCGAGATTGAACAGCACGTGAGGGGCCAAGCCAGGACCCAGCCTTGGACTCCAGGCCCCGGCCCTGCCTGGGAGTCGTCTCCCACACAGTCCCTCTTCCAAACAGGGAGAAGCCCGAGACAGTGACTCAGAGCCCCTCGGCAGTTTTGCTGATAGATTTTTTTTGTTTTGAAGTAAGATCTGCCTCTATTAAAGTCTTTAGGAAATTATAGTGATTTTGATTTTTTTTCAGACATGTTTGAATTACTCATAGTCTGGAATTCCCAGGCAGGGGGCGAGACCCAGAGAGGCTGCTGAGGAAGTTCGGGGCATAGGAGTTGGGGTCAGCTGAATCTGGGTTCAAATCCCTTGCTGCCCCAAGGCTTGCCTTCCTCATCTGGGTTTGGTAACCAACACCAGCACTTAGTTCAAAGGTCGCTGGGGGCTGCAGGAGGTAACAAGCAGAGAGCACTCGGCCCCTCAGAGGCCTGAGTGGGTGGGCACCCGACCAGGCAGGAAGGCCAGCTCTCACTGGGAGAGCACAAAATCTGCCTGAGTAGAGACATCAGACCAGAGGCTGCTCAGCCCAGGAGCTGGGCTTCGTGGGTTCGAATCCAGCTCCGTCAGTGATCTGGGCTAACAGACCTCCCCTGTCTGAGACTGTTTTCCTGCAGGGAAAAAGTCAGCGCCGATGACGGCGGCAACGGTGGGAGGACCTGCATGTCCTTAGAATGGCACCTGGCGTGCGACTGGTGCTCGGGAGGATCCTGTTATCACCGTCCCCGTCCTTTCTGCCCATGCCCGCGTTTCCGGCAGGGTGGCGGCAGCTCATGCTTCTGCCGAGCTGGCGGGAGAGTTTCCAGAGCCCTGTTTCTGCCAAATATGGTGTGACTGTGTGCGTTTCTTGTGCAGTATGTGGCTGAGCCTCTGCCCGTGCTGTTCCTTTGCCAGGAAATCCCTCAGTTCCCCATCGCCGCCCGCCAGCACCCTTCCAGGGCCCTGGGCACCAGTCAGAAACATTCACAGCCAGTTCGACAAGTGTTTACTCCCACAGCGTCTCCTCTGTCCGAGCCCCGCACGGGGGTTTGCCTCTCCCTTCTTGTTTCCCAGCCCGCTTCTGTCCTTGAGTGCTGATTTGTTCCACCCTGTCCTGTAGCATTAATTACTCTCTAAATCTGAGACAGTTAAGGGCCTCATAAACAGTGGCCAGTTTGTGTCCTGGTGGCCTCTCTGTCCTGGATTTTTCTCCCTGGCGACAGATCTGCCCAGGGGTGGCTCCCACCATCTGAGCATGCTCAGAAGGACCACGGGGTACCACCCCACCACTGGGGCTTCAAAGGCCTCGAGAGGTAGCCCCCAAAGGAAGACGAGGGCTTTCAGCTGTTATTGTCACCGTGTCTCCTCCTCCGTGGGCTGCGTGGAGATAAAAGTCTGAAGGAAGTAGAGGCTGCTCGCTGACAAAAACACCGTATTTTTAGAAGCACTCCGTGGTTTAGGATGTTTGCCCAGCACTGCCTTTCAGTGGCAGGGGGTGGGCTGGGGCTGGAAGCCTAGGGCTGCGACCTCCCTCCGGGGTTGGTGGGAGTGGGTTTCCGGGGTGGGGGCGGGCGTGAGGGCCCAAGAGAGGAAGCTGGTAGGGAAGAGTCTGTCTTCACTTCTCTTTCCTGGTGACCAGAGCCCCCAGGCCCTACACTTCAGGGCCGAGGAGGGGCTGGGGTGGGGGGTGGCTCCATCTCCTTTTCTCAGAGATGGGAACACAGAGGCCCCTCCCCACCCCCACCCCCAGCCCGTCCCCATTCCCCAGCTGAGGATTTGGGGTTGGCACATGTGGGGCCCTTAGAGAACAATGCGTGCATTCTGTAATCAGGGCTAATTGGTGTGGTTCGGAGTGGGGGGAGGAGGAATGCCAGGCGCCTGGGGGGCAGGACGTCAGCAGGGCTCCGAGCCAGCCTCCCAGGCAGAGTTCATGGACAAGGAGAAAAGATCCTGGGGTCTGGGAAAGCTCGGGTAGGTGAGAGGAGGGCTCAGCGGCCCGGGGAACAAGCTCAGGCGCAGGAGCCGGCGGGGCCCGGACATGAGGAAGGGTGGGAGATGGGCAGCGGGGACAGGAGCCCGACCGGCAGGAGGGGTGGCCTGCCCCTGCTCCCAGCTCTTCGGAGCTGGCCGCGCTAACTTCTACTGACCGTCATTTTCAAAAGCGCCTGGGGGAGGTGAACTGGCTGCTCCCGGTGTCCAGACGGGAGTCAGGAGAGGCATGTTGGGGGGCTGCCCGGCCCTGCCCACCTCTCCCCAGTGCCTCTACCTTATAATCAGGGTGGCCCTTCCTTAAAGTTGATGCCAAGATGTCAAACAGCCAGGCTATGATGGTGAGCTATAATTTATATCATTTTTCATATGGGTTATAGGCTCCAAAGGCTCCGGCTCCTTCAAATGGGAACCACATTGGAGAAGGGTAAACCGAGGGGCAGAATGTTCAGAAACCGGTCCCAGGAAGCCACCTGCTTCTCATTTGGGATGTGCCTGGGTTTATTGTTTGTTTCCAGTGCCTGGCTGGTTCTCGGAGACGGCGGGGCAGCCACGGATCACTGCCCTTGCCAGGCGTCTCTGCTGAGGCTGGGCTGAGCCTCCGTCAGGGGTCATCCGGCCTCCAGCATGCCCCGTGCGGAGCGTGGCGGGGGCAGTTAGGAGCACACCACTGTCCGTCTCAGCCTGGCCCCCCAGAGCGGAGCCGTCTGGAAAGAACCCAGAGTGGCCAAAGCCCCACAGCCCGCGGGAGGCCGGGCGTGCCGGGCTGGTTCAGGGGACTCTGGACGCCCCAGGCACTGATTCCTGCTGACCCAGGGCCAGCGCAGCAGAGCGGCCCCGGGGACAGGCTGCAGCGAAGGCAAATGAACGGAAGCCACGCACGACATCATGGCTGCTTCTTCAACATGTGGTGCTGAGTGAAAGGAGTGGAAAGAATACAGATGCTTGGTTCCATTCATATCAAGTTCAAAACTGGGCAAAAACTGTTGTGTGGTGTTAGGGGAGGTAAGCTGAGGGGGTCAAACAAAGTTGGAAGTAACCACCCTGAGGGTTGATGCAGTAGTAACCTTCAGTGAGGAGGGTAGGGGAGGGCTTGCGGGCAGTTCCTAGGGGACAGGCCGTGTTCTAGTTCTTTCATATTTTTATTTATTGATTTTAGAGAGAGGGAAAGGGGGAGAGAGAGAAGCGATTTGTTGTCCCACTTATGTATGTATTCGGTGGTTGACCTTTTACCTGCCCTGACCAAAGACCGAACCCACAACCTTGGCCCATGGGGCCGATGCTCCAACCAGCTGAGCTCCCCCTCCAGAGCCCTGCTCTGGTTCCTGATTTTGGAGGTGGCTGCAGGGGAATCACCCTGATAATTCATTAGAGCACAAATAATTCATTTATGCTCTATGTGCTTTTTGGGGGCTGTGTTGTTTCTCACCATGAAGAAGGCTGAAGAAACAAACCCAGAGGGACATGGAATGACTGGGCATGGCCCCCCACTGCCCCCCCCCCCAGTTCGCCTCTTCTCTCCAGCTCACTGTTGCTCAGGGTCCCAGGAAGCCCTGTCCTTCCCCCACTCCCACCCCGCTCAGCCCCCTCCCACTGGGCCCACCCGGCCTGGCTCGGGCCCAGGCCTTCCTTGGTGCTGGTGGAATCACAGGGGAAGGGGGCTTCCTGAGCCCCAGGGAACCTGGAAGCTCAAGGAGCTATGAGTGCCCCTTCTCAGTGGCCCCTGGCCCACTGTGGGCCTAGCCCAGAGCTGCACCCCAGGGACAAATTCCCTGCCTCAGAGAGATTCTGCTTCATCCGTTGACAGGTCAGGAATCCTCAGGGCTGCGTGGACTTCCTCTCCTGGGTCCCTGCAGGGATTGCCTGCAGGCTGAGGAAACGGGCCAGGGGACCTCCGTGACAGACAGCCATTGGGTGGCCTCTGGCAGGACAAGATCCGCTCTCTCTAAGGGATGCCCTGGGGTACCTTTCTGTGAACCAAGGGCTTATCTTTAGAACACGAAGATTTCTTTTGAGAAAAAAAAGTAAGAAAGAAGAATCTCTGATCTTCAAAGTTCTGTTCGCTCTTTTTGTTTTCTTCAAGGAGAATATCGATAGGGGAAGGCAGGTATCGCTGTTTAATGGGTAAAAGGGATCCATCCCTCCATGTTGCTGTTGGAGAAGCCGTGGGAGAAAATGATTAGTTGGGGGGGCAGGGGTCCCTAGGTGGGAGGGGCTGGTTTCCTCCTCACTCCCCCTGTCTGGGGGCAGATGAGTCTCCTCCAGGCCCCGGGGCCTCCTCCGAGGACCTTTCAGGTGAGAAACTTTCCACTGCCGCCTTATCTCGCAGCCCTCCGCCCGGCCTCCCGGCAGCGACCACAGGTGCAGGCAGCCGGGAGGCCCCGATCTGTTCCATTCTTTGTGCCAAGCAGAGCGGGGGCTGCGAACCCCAGCATGAAACGGCGCCCACAACCACAAGGCCCGGTGTGCGCCCTCTGAAACTGTAGGTAAAAGCGATTACCGGCAATTTCCACAGCTTGGTTTGTTTTTTGTTCAAAGGCCCTGGAGGCCTTCTCCGCAGCAGGCCTGAAATACAGAGTATTCCCACCGCATGCCGCCCTCGTAAATGTGCGATAAAGCTGTGGTCGCTTTGTCCTGGCTCTTACTTTTAACAGTCAAACCTTCAAGTTCGATGTCGAAACTGCTTTTTTCTGAACGTGTCCTTTGATGGCTCAGATACTGCTCCACGATAAGGGGCCACCTTCAAAACCGCTCACTGTACCTCGTGCTCACCATTAGGATGCGCGTCACTAGGGAAAATCAGGCGCCCGAGCTTATGAGAAGTCAGGTAGGAATGTGCTGAGTCTGTGAAATTCTCCTCTCTGCTGCCGTATTAGAGACTTTGCATTTAAAAAAAAAAAGAAAAAGAAAGAAAAGAGAAGAGAACCAGGCCCATGTCAGAAGGGGATTTTGTGAGTGGAGAAGATGGTGGGCGATGTCCTAGAAAGAAATGTTCTCCCCGCGGGGAGAGCTGCTGAGAATCTGAGCCTTCGGTGCCCATAGGTTTTCTTCAACAGGGTGGGGTGGGGACGCCGTGCGTGGGAATGGACGGTGGCAGTCTGGTAGAGTGTGACTACCCACAGTGACATTTCCTCGCCATCTTTCATATCGAAATAAAAACAATTCGAAAAGAAAAAAAGAAAGGAGGAAGGGAAACAGTCGGGCTGCCGGCTGTCCTGGGGAGGTCCGGCGCCGCTGCTTGTCCTGCAGCCGAGTTCAAGTGCGCATTAGTGCCTGGAACCTACCAGGGCTGCCCGCAGCTGGAGTTGTTACTTCACACCGGGAGTAGGCCCTGGTGCTGAGTGAGCGCTGGCCACGTTCCCACGGCACTCGCAGGCCCCTGATCTCATCTCCCACTCCACAGAGAAGGCCCGCGTCAACGTGGCGGCCCTGGCCAATCCCAGCCATGAACGATGCTCACAACAGCAGGACCACCCCAGGGCCAAGGGAGTGCTTTTCAGGGACAGT